CACTTTCCAGTGTTTTCTGGAGAAGGAAAAGAGGCTGAATTTGTGCTTTGCTAACACCATCTCTGAAGTCTTTGTGTGAAAGATGATGAGGTGTGTTTGGGAGTACTTCTGTCATTAAAGCCCTGGAGTTAGAGTTGAAATGATGCTCTGCCTTGTGGCGTTTGAAATTTATCTGGCCTAGATGTTTGGGTTCCAGGTTCTTTGCTGTCTCACAGACCTGTGACATACAATATTATTTACAGTTCCAAAGTAAGAATGTGACTGATCATTTAATTATGATTTAAGTTCTGATTTGACATATGGAACTCAATAGGCTAATTGGGAAAGAAAAATCAAAACAATTACATTTTATTTGCTTTTTGTACATTTCAAACTAACAGTCAAGCACAAAAATCTATTTATTTAAAATAATTTCACATCTGTACAGTGAGTGTGAGTACAGTATATTGTAGTTGTTAAATTAAAAAATACTTTATTGATTACAAAAGTAAATTATATAATATAATAGTGTTCAAATGCATGTATTTTAGTTTAGCTATGCTCCCCAGTGTAGGTAAGGACATAGAGTGTGTAAATAAATAACACACCATTGTGACACATTCRTTTGAAGACGTGRTTCTGCAGGTTTGTCATTCTGAGTGTCTTGCACTGGGTCAGACTCTGGCTCGTACATGTAAGGCTGGATTGACAAGTCTACCGTTGTTGACATCCTTATACTTTCTTGCCATCTGCCATCACTAATATGCACCTTCATATACATTCATTTTTGTACTGTACTTTACGGTGTATATATGAATATAAATAAGCATTTGTGTGTATGCATATGTGTACATTGGTACATTACTATATATCACATGTGTATATTGTGGGGTTTTGTTTGTTATCTTTTATTAATCTTTCATTATTCTTCTCAGCCTCTCTTGTATTAAGCTGCAGTAATGTGCAAAATTCCAGACTGTGGGATCAATAAAGTTTTATCTTATCTTATTTTATCTTAAAAACAGTTTTTAGTCGGTAGATAACTGTGTTGTTGCTATGAAACTACAAATATGGCCGAACAGGGTGGAGTCGAACGCTCAGCGACCTGGAGGGGGCGGGGTGTGAAATATCTCATTTGTATTTAAAGAGACCGCACCAAAACAGCTTGCTCTGAGGCGCAACTCAGAACAGGGGTAAACCAAGGAAAGCAAGGAGTCTTTGGAGAAACAAAAACGAGGAATTAAGACCAAAGCGTTGCAGTTTTATTTTAAATAGACCATAAGTGAATGATTTAGATGTGAAAAAGAAGGATTTAAAAGCATGATATGATACCTTTAATGTTCGTCATATTTGAAGCATGTTGCAGCAGGAGGATGCAAAAGAGGGCCGACTCATGTGGAAAAAACACCTCATTCCACCTCTGGTGTCACCCCCACCCCGCCGAACAAACATAAACCCCCCAAACTCCTTTCTGACTGAAGCCTGAAAATATTAGATAAGCAGCAAAAAATATACTGGAGGATAAAAATAAAAAGAGGCGGAAGTTGAATAAAGTTCGGCAGCGATGGAGAGACAGCGAGATCGGAAGTGAGCAATGAGATATCCGAAATTTATTGAATTTATTATATTTGTATAACTATATTTCATAGTTAGCAGCTAACATACCTCTGAATGAAGTGATGGCTGCAGGCACCGGCTTTCTGCTCCTCCTGACCACAGATGGTTTAAAATCCACTTTTTACGTTGTCGTTCAGTGAGCGTTCTGCATTTTTCATCTTTGTGTACCAATCAGTGTTATCATAGATTGTCATAGGGTTGGGCAGAATCGTGCGGAATTATTCATCAGAAAAACTTTTGCTTGTTATTATTTGGCATCTGGTGATGTAAGACGTGTGTGGTACCGACAGCCTCAATAAATCTTTAGGTTTTGTCGAAAACTCATTCATCTTCATCATACGAGTCATGTCTGACATATTAATGAACAAATTGTTGTTATATATCTTGAAATAGTATCTAAATCCATACAATATAAACTCTACAGTATTTTCCTCCATAGACATTTTACCCCCTGCCCTCCAGTGGAGATTGCGCACTCTTCGAAACCACATGACTGAAACCCAGCTGCTGGTGTGGTGGTAGCTGAGAGTCGCCTCCAACACGTAGCTGGAGTGCTAACAGATTGTGTTTAAACTTTGGTTTTATTTATTGGGGTGTCTGTTAGACTAGACTCCTTGGATTTTATTGAAATGAATCATTGGTTGTAAATTTTACAACTGGTTTATATTTGGAGCCAATCCAATTCAAGATGGCTGCCACACCAACCAACCATAGAAAACACAAAAATGGCTATAACTCAGCTATTTTAAAATATATTGAGCTGAAAATTGCCAGGGTGGTAGCTGAGTGTCATCCTCATCACTTAATGAAACCAAATAAAAAATTCAAGATGGCCGCCATGCCAACCAACCATAGAAAACACAAAAATGGCTATAACTCAGCTATTTTAAAATATATTGAGCTGAAAATTGCCAGGGTGGTAGCTGAGTGT